AAAGTACATGTCTTTTGCATAATTTTTGTCATAGAAACATAACAATTCATATATACACTTGAAAGAAAACTGACATTTAAGTCATCTCTAAGTAAGTCCATTAAGACAAGACTGTTTAGGATACTATTGTTTAGGATACTATACACACACTACACAGCGTCATATTATTCAGCCATAAAAAAGAATGAGTCTTGACATTGCAACATGGATGGAACTAGAGTACTATGCTAAGTGAAATAAGTCAATCAGAGAAAGACAAATACCATATGATTTCACTCATATGTAGAATTTAAGAAACAAATGAACAGAGAGGGAAAAGAGAAAAGAGGAAAACCAAGAAACAGATTTAACTATAGAGAAAAAAATTGATAGTTACTGGAGGGAAGGAAATGAAGGATGGGTTATATGAGTGATGGCTATTAAGGAGTGCACTTGTGATGAGCACCGGGTGTTGTATGTAAGTGATGAATCACTAAATTCTATACCTGAAACTAACATTACACTGTATGTTAACTAAATGGGATTTAAGTAAAAACTTGGGGGGGGGGGAAAGATTGCTTAAGACACCAACCAACCCCCAAATGACAACATAGTACTACAAATTTAAGATGGCAACACTGTGAGACTACCCAGAGGGTTCCACCTTGGGAAAGTAATGAGAGGAAACCGGGGTGAAATTTTAAAAGAGAGAAAACAAACGAGATTTAAAATTTGCATATACTGCTTATCTTGCTGCCCCTATTCTGATCAACACAATTAGTGCCCATATTGTCCACTTAATCTGACATTGCTGCCTGATGAAAACATAGACCATGACAAGCTAAAACTCCATATTTTTGTGCCCTATATGAATTGATCTAAGATTGGAACACATGGTTGATTGCATTGTGTCCTTCTTCCATATCTGCCCAAACTGACTCTGAATTTGGCAGTAGTAGCAAACTTGACTCAAACAAGCTTGAAACTTGTTTGCACATTTCAGCATCTTCTCTTGAACCCCTACCACCAAAAGAAAATACCAGGGCTAGCCTACTGAAAGAATGTGACATGTCATCCCAGCCATCCTAGACTAATTCACAATCCAGCCACCTTCCCAGCCCCCAATTCAGCTGACCTGCCAGCTGATTGTAGAAACATAGGTCTAGCCAAGATCAGCAGAATCACCCAACTGACTTGCAAATCCATACAAATGATAAAGGACAGTTGTTAAGCCACTTACATTTTAGGCTGTTATGCAGCAATCATTGCTGACAGAGTGGTCAGGTTAGCCCATTACTATGATTGTTCTGCCTCTGGCATAAGCCAGATGAATTAGTCGACCATAATAGGGAGTGGCAAATGGAAGTTAAGATTCATGAGACCTAAAAGTAATGATATAGTTTCTTTACAAATTCACAAAAATAAGGATATTCTTTGAACTGGATCCAAACCCTATAAGCTATAAATTAAGCCTATTTATCTTAAACTTACAATCTTCAAAATGTTTGAAATAATACTGTTTACTCTTCCATAGACTTAACAAGTGTCTACGTGATACTTCCACATTCACCATCTCTTTTGTGCTCATCCCAAAGCACTTTGTCAAATTATATTAGCTTAATTAATAACAATTTTAAAGACCTACTTAACTTCTTTTAGAAACAAAAAGATTTGACTCAAAACATTTCAGAGCATCCAAACCAATTGTACCACGATTTCTGCCTTTAGCAGTACAATGTAATTAACAAGCATGTGCAGACTGTTTTCTTCAATTGGCAATGTAGGCATCATTCACACCCATGAAAAGCTAATGGCACAAATAGAAAAAGATTAGTTTATTATTAGAGAACTATTTAGACGTGTAGGAGGAAAGTTTAGTGGCCTGACATAGCTGATGAACTTTTCTTCCAATTGAGAATGGTCAGTTTTAACTTGAGCCATTGCTGGCTGCATTTTCTCACATTTCTTTTCTCAGCACTCTCTCTTGCCTTTCAAACAGCTGTATTGCTTGCATCAAAGTGATCCAAGTTCTACTGAACACTCTATGACTAAAGAACTTTTTGAAAAATCTTGCTACTAAAGAGTGTTCCATGACCCAGGAACATCACAGACCCCATCCAGTTCTGCTGAATCCAAATCTGCATTTTTAATGAAATCCTCAAGTGATTATTTTCACTTTTATTTTATTACTATTATTTTCACTTATTTCATTTCAGCTTTTATTTAGTTCTTTTTTTTTTTAATTTTTTTTTTCAACGTTTATTTATTTTTGGGACAGAGAGAGAGCATGAACGGGGGAGGAGCAGAGAGAGAGGGAGACACAGAATCGGAAACAGGCTCCAGGCTCTGAGCCATCAGCCCAGAGCCTGATGCGGGGCTCGAACTCATGGACCGCGAGATCGTGACCTGGCTGAAGTCGGACGCTTAACCGACTGCGCCACCCAGGCGCCCCTTTTATTTAGTTCTTAACATTTTTAAATTTTTGATAGAGACAGAGCACAAGTGGGGGAGGGGCAGAGAGAGAAGGAGGCACAGAATCTGAAACAGGCTCCTGGCTCCGGGCTGTCAGCACAGAGCCTGACACGGGGCTGGAACTCACCAGCTGTGAGATAGATCATGACCTGAGCCGAAGTTGGACGCTTAACCGACTGAGCCACTCAGGCGTCCCTATTTAGTTATACTTAGCTATAACTAGGAGGCTATGGCGGTTCGATTCCCTGTTATTCTCAGTAGTTAGCAGCTAATCTTAAACTACTTCCATAGTATTGCTTCTTCTCACAGTTCACAGTAGCAGGCATAAAAGAGGAATGCCATACAGTCTTCTGGAGCCATGACTCACAATTGCAATTAAGCTACAAATCACTCTTCCTCTTGCATTTTATCAGACCTGACTTCTCTTTCACAGCCCTGCTGGATATTGATAAGAATCAATTATAGTTCCAAAAATATTTTATTCCATATTTACATTTTTTTCTACCAGACAGTATATATCTTAAGAACATGTTCTGAAATCTCTTATGCAGCTTTTCAAAATCTCCAAAGGTAAATATAGTGCCCAGTACACGATAGGTATTTGATAGTACCCTCTCTTTTTGATTAACGAATGAACATAACTAGGTCACTGATTAAGTAACTGATTTGTGAAACTTCAAATACAAGCAAAACTATCTTACCTACTTCTAAAGTTTTATAATTCTAGTATATTTTTTTTCACAGCCAAGTCAACTGGTGTCTCTTATAGTCCACTTCTCCTATAAGGTTGGTTCTAAAGATTTTAGTACATCTGATAGGAAAATAAATATTCAAGCAAAAAGTTTACATACTTTTTCATTTGCAATGAGTATCCTTTTTTCTGTTAACATCTTGTCTTAATCAGTTTTGAATCCCTAATGATTTCTGCAGTTTCTGATACATAACATGCACTCAAATATTTGTTGAGTGAGTAAATTATTTTTAAACTACCATGAGTTTGTTAGCATATTATAATTAATGAAGAAAAGCTCCAATGCAAAACATTTTAATAGGTTGTCAAATATACAGTTATTAGAATTATCTAAGTATCACTTATAAAAATCGGTATATCACATTAGATGACTCTATGAAATAAAAACACAAATCACACATTGACAATACCCCTGCAGTCCAAGAATACTCCCATCAATAATACAAATTACAAACACATTAAAAAGAGAGACATTGTTTAGACATTTAAACCAAAGTAACTTTGACTACACTAAATACATTCACTCATCAAGTACAATAAATTTAGCATAGTCACTAATACAATTTTAGGTGCAATTTCACATGCTTTCATAAATCTTCCAGTACAGCTCCCTACAGTAAAGTGTCTTTGTGCACGCCAATTTCATTTATATGCAGGTGCATTCCACATCCTACTTGAAACTATTTCACTTCATAATTAAACTTAATATATGCTGTAAGTGAACACCAGGCCAAACTTTAACCCCATGATGATGACAAAGTTTAACAAAAAAAAAAAATTCTTCAAAGTACATTCTAATTTATTTAATCACATGAACACTATTTCCTCTCATTAGACACTATCAACATTAAGTAACAAGAATTTAAACATCAAAAAGCCAGAGATTCCAATCTTCCTAAAATATTAACAAGTAGTTTAAGTAATAATACAAGCATTCTGTAAATCAAAAAGTAATTTCATATTCATTGCCAAATTTAAAATACCAGTGATTTGAAGATGAAATTGAGGCCTAAAATATTTTTAAATAAATTGTAAAACACAATTTTAAAAATGTGCAGTAAGTTGCTTGTGAATACGTAATGGACTATTTTTCACAGTAATGCTATTTTAAAACACTACTCTAAATGGACGGCCTAAAAATAAATGTACCTTTACTGGCAAGAAAAGTGAACAGAAAAATTAAGGCCTTTTTATGCTATCTATAATTGCTACCTGAACCCAAAAGTCAAATAGAGGTTATAATGATGCAACATATTATTTTTAACCTTTCTAACATATTGTCAGTTGCTTTAGCTCAGCTTAATAATTATCTTTACACAAATTCAAATGCTAGTGAACTTTATCATTAAATGCATATTTCTCTGTATCTCTATTTTAATTAAGTCCCCAACCCCACCCCATCTAGACAGAATGCTGAAAATGTTTAGGGCTTTGTCTGATTGGTTCACAACTGTATATTCAGGGGCTAAAAATGCTTGGCACATGGTAGAAATCCAGTAAATATTTTTGAATGAATTAAGAAGCCTGGCCTCCATTGGCAACACTACTTGTCTTTCCAAAGCATCAATAGACAATTGCTACCTCTTTACATGATAAAATTGACACTTTTTTTCTTAAATATTACAGGATGTAGTGGAAGGATAACTGAGGCTACAAACATATCAAATCAAGGTTAAAGGCACAGGATAAGGAAGATTATTATAAAGCATTGTAAACAATTTTAAGAGCAAATCAAGTTTTAAAGTATCAAATGCCTAACTGCTAAAAGAGTACTAAAATGATGACAATGTTTTAAAAATAGTGGACAAAATTTCTGTAATTTCACAAATAAAACAGTTACATACCATCTTCTTTCATCCCATATCTTCTCAGTATTCCCAATCCTAGAAACAAATGTTTTCAGTTGCATGAAATATGAAAATTACAACTGAAATATCTCTGAAAATTAATTCCTTTTTCTTAAGTTATATTATTATAAATTTAATATATAGACTTTACAGAGATAATATGAAGAACATCATTTTGGAAATCATAAAATAGTAAGTTATACTCAATCAAAATCATAAAAAAAGTCCTTATTCAGTTGAATACAATCTAAAGCTCCACAATAGCAAATTGTAGTGTAAAGAGGCATAGTAAGTACGATCTTTCCAGACACATAAAACAAAGAATAATGAATACTGAGTTGAAAATACAAGTTCCACGTTAGAGCCATGTAATATACACATTTTCACAACTGTTTCTTGAAAAACTATTTAGATAAAATATTTAGCATTTATCATCAATTTTTAATTTACTTGAATTTATGCAACTTCCATCCATATTAAAATATTAGTGTAAATACTTTATTATAAAACTATTACACAATTTAAATTTTTATTAGAGAAATGTATTATTCACTATCCACCATTTCTTAAAGTCCTTTTCATGAGTGCATTCCATAAGAAATACACTAAAATCATTATTTATGTTTCCTAGGGGGAATAAACTATGGTAATCCTATTAACCCAAACTATATCCTTATTATGCTTATTTATTAAACACATACATGTTTAAACATGCTTGGTGAATAGTGATCATTCTTCCCCACAGTGGTAAATTTCAGCATAATGTTAAATGACTGGGCTAGATAGTAAAATATTCACATGTAGATTACATAAACAGAGACTTATTCTGTGACATGTAAGCTTACTTATAAAATAACATAAAATGGGCACTGGGTAACAGTGATAAAAAATGTAAACAAACAGAATTAAATGTTAATCTCTTCCCTGAAAAATAAAAGACAAAAGCGCTTCCTGTTTTATTTAAAAAAAAAATATGGTCTATTGTATCAAAAAGGTAAGACATTGATTTTTACAAAACTATATTTCTACATATGGATAAAGAAAATCTAGAACAGTTGATTCACACTTTATTGAGCTAAAATGTGCAAAAAATCTGGTAATATTTAAATTTATTAAATTCATTGTACATAGCCTGATACCATCCCATTCAAAACAACCCTCTTGTTAAGACTCAAAACTGTTAATTATCTGAGCTTCAGACTTATGAACCCCTGTCCAAATAACAACAACAACAACAAAAGTCTATGTTGTGGGAGAAAAAAAATTAAAATAAAAAATTTTTGACTATTAGGACTTGAAATTCATCCCCACAAAGAAAAGCTACAGCCAATACCTATTTAGGCAGTAGAGAAAAATATGCAGTCTCTATAGAAAATACTTATTCTGACTCTAAATAAAAAATTAAAACCAAATTTTGCTGTAACAAAATGTATATCAATTTTAAAGTTATTCAGGTTTACTAGAGTTACTAAGCATAGAATTCATAGAGCATTTGGTACTTCTGTTTGTGCTCAGATATTTGTGAAAAACACAGACTGGGAAGGTGAAATAAACACAAAATTGTGATACTTTACACTAAAAAAAACAAAGACATTAAGATTTAAAAGTTTAATTTGTAATCCTAGGGGAAAAAGAGGGGAGAAAGTTCAACAGCTCACAAATATAAAACATCTTCCAAGAATACAGCAAAACTGTTAACTGCTTAGATGTGTTAGTGAATCAAAGTGCAAGTAATGCTTTCATAAATATCTAACATATTTGCAAATTTAATTTCAAAGTTTTAAATGTTTTCAATAACAAATAACTCCTTATTTTTTAAAGGGTAGTAGATGTGAAACTCAGATAATACAGATAATAATTTTTCCACTCATTACAATTTAAATTGTTATTTCTATCTGGAATAGGATATAAAATTGTTTTGAGTAAGAGTGAAATAGAAGCATGGATTTAGATATGCACCAAACTTATAGAGGTGCACTAATTACCCGTGGTACTTTTGATACAATACTGGGTGGTGTCCTTCACTGCTTATTAGAATTCTAAGAAACACTTTTTAGCAATATATACTACTGTTTGACTAAATGGAGACATATAAATACATGCATTTTAAAAGAGAAAATTCTCAAAAGGTCTTTAAAGGAAAAGTAAGACAATCATCTACCTTTTGAAAAGGTAGGAAAAGGTATTATATGGTTTATAACATTTTTCACAATATAGTAAATACTTTTTCTAATTTTTGCATCAATTTAAGAGTTTAAAAGAAAATATTTTGTTCCTTGCAAATGCCCTTTTTCTTCTCCTAACCCTGGCAAGAATAATTATTAGTGAACTTAATTCCAAGAAATTTGTTGTTGTTGTTGTTCGCTTCAATTATCTTTATATAATATTTTGAAATATGCAAATAACTGGAAATTAAAGAGAAAATCTGCTTTTGGAATGCAATAATTCTAAATCACTTTACTAAGAAGCACCTTTTGATATGCTGGTCTGAACTTTTAATATAAAACCTAAACAGTACTTAACTTTCTGAAGTAGAATTTTCTCCAGTTTTAATAACTTCATTCATAGCAATGCTAAGGACATCAACCTGTGCTTTCTAGATTTTTTAAAGTGTTCTAATAAATTAATGAGTTTAGATATGGCTCATTGTCAAGGTTGGGTGGGCAGAAATTTCATGACAAATTGGCTACAGAAAGCTAAATAAACTCTTAATGACTGAATAACGGTTTGCATTTTGCTTGAGCCAAATAGATGTTTAAGCCATGTACCACCACATTCCCTGCTTAACATTCCTAAGTTTATTCTTCATAGTTTTCTAATGAACAGATAGTTTTCCTGAGTAAGATTATAAAAAAGATAACCCTTCTACCAAAAGTATAAAGACAAAATGTAGACTCACAATATAAATTTTTTACATAGCTTTACAAGTATAGAGATATTGACTGCTGCTTTTGTTATGATTGCCCCATCCTTAAAAAGACCACAGCAAAGGTTTCAATTGTCTAAAATACTTTGCAGTACAGTAATTAAATGCTTCAGCCCATAAACATATCCCTCATCTACTGTGTTGCTAGGGAACACATGAGCAAAATCTATCATTCGCACTTCTGCTTCTGAAATCTCCTGGCAACCAGTGGGAAGATGGCAGAAAACTTTTTCCAGTTGGGAAAGTACATTTCCATTTAAACGTTCCTGTGACATGCTTTTCCACCCATTGTCTTGCTCTGTATTTTCAGCTTTCAATGAAGTATGACTGTGATGCTTTTTTGAACACATTTTTCTGTGACAAGCATACATCTTGGACAAGCTTTTGCCTACTGAAACATCTATTTTTCCATTCTCTGTGGAATTTAACACATGAAAGTTATTATTGTACTCCAGTACATCTGTGTCTGACAGTTGTCCTTTGGACAAAAACTTTTCTACCAAAGTTCTGTCATTTGATTTTGTAGTAGTTGGCCGAGATGAGCCTTCATAAACAAACAGTAATGAACTTGCATAAAAGTTAAGCTGCTTCTGATTTTCAAACCATTGCAGAATATTCTGAATCTTCTGAATGCTGGCAGCAACAGCATCTTTTCTTACGCAGAATCCATTATGAAAAAACCTGGAGACCCCTATAAAAAGGAAAATATTAGGATTATAATGAAATTATAAACTAGTTATCACTTGGGAAGTAAACTCATCTTAGATACAATTCTTCAAATTTCTCCCCCATTACCCCTTACAATAAACTGAACCGGCAAAATTCTAGTCAGACATAGAAACTTGGACCTCAATTTGATTTCTAGTGAAGATTCTCTTACTAGAAAAAAATGACACTTATGTAAAGTGAAATATACTATTTAGATTAAAAAAATCATTACACACAGACTGGTAGTTTAATTCTCTCTATATATATTCTCTTAAGGAATGTGATTCCAAGATCTGCTTCATTTGCTAGTGTGAGAGATTTTTTAGTGAGATTTCTTATTTGTTAGAATCACAGTCAGGAGCTAATCTAAAACCTAGAGTCAAATCATAACCACTTGTAATGGTGTCAACAGCCCATTACCAAATACCAAATCATACTATAATACTGTTTTCTGATCTTAATAATGTTGATTAAATCAGTCTTCACAAAAGTTACGCTCGCTTTGGGTATCAACAATACTTCAGGTTGAATATGTTATTCAAAACGGAGACTTTTACATGTTTTAACCTATCAGATTATTAGGCCTCTTTTAAAATTATTTATGTGTATTTAAGTATTTGAGAATTTCTAGGTCTATGCAATTTGATTTGTTTTTAAATAGCTTGTTCCCCCTACTTTGGAAGAGAAATTGCTAAAAAGTATATTCACATCAGCCTGTAAAATATTTTAATAAAGAGCCAATCTGAATATTATCTGGCTATTAGTTAAGTAAACTGAGGCAAAATACTGTTAAGATCACAGTATGTACATTTTCTATACAATGAAAATTTTTCTTCAAACTATTTACATTACACATAAGCTCCTTCCTATCTTAGTCAGAGTAAGAATAAACTTCTAATAGAATATTATTTCCAGAAATCTATTAAGATATCATTGCTTTTGTAATATTTTGGCTATAAATATTTTAGAGGCATGTTAGCAGTTTTTATTTAAAACACTTCTGGGGCGCCTGGGTGGCGCAGTCGGTTAAGCGTCCGACTTCAGCCAGGTCACGATCTCGCGGTCTGTGAGTTCGAGCCCCGCGTCGGGCTCTGGGCTGGTGGCTCAGAGCCTGGAGCCTGTTTCCGATTCTGTGTCTCCCTCTCTCTCTGCCCCTCCCCTGTTCATGCTCTGTCTCTCTCTGTCCCAAAAATAAATAAACGTTGAAAAAAAAATTTTTTTTAAAATTTTTTTTAAAATTTTTTAAAAAAATATTTATAAAAAAATTTTTTTTTAATTTTTTTTTAAATTCTTTTTCTTTAAATTTTTTTTTTCAACGTTTATTTATTTTTGGGACAGAGAGAGACAGAGCATGAACAGGGGAGGGGCAGAGAGAGAGGGAGACACAGAATCGGAAACAGGCTCCAGGCTCTGAGCCACCAGCCCAGAGCCCGACGCGGGGCTCGAACTCACGGACCGCGAGATCGTGACCTGGCTGAAGTCGGACGCTTAACCGACTGCGCCACCCAGGCGCCCCGAAAAAAAAAAATTAAAAAAAAAAAAACAAACCACTTCTAATGCTATTTATTATGTAGTACTAGAAGCTTATAATACACAGCTCAACTATACATGGGAGATTTTGATAAAAATGCATTACATATGACAATACACATTTTAAAGTCTCTTATGTAAGAAGTAGTTTTAATATACTATACTCTACGTATTTGGATTTTAAAGACAACCTCTAGTTCTAAGACTTGGGCTATATGGCTGGTTCACAGATGTTCATTTTTAAAAATATATTATTAAATAAGAAATGAACTACAATGTAAAAGAAGGCATTCATGGATCCAGGATTTTGGTGTAATACAAACCAGAAATTATGATTAGTACAACTGTGTAAATTTAAGGTTCTTTTATTTTTTTTAAGTTTATTTATTGCAGAATGAATCATTATACCAAAGAAGAAATAAAATTGAAACTACTTTAGAATTATTTTGATAACTGTACATTGAAATATGGTTTTTCAACCCTTACCATCCTTTAGAGTTTCTTTCGTTAAGCTTCTTCCGTAGTGCTGGTTTTGTGTCTCATAGCTGTCAGAATGAATTTGGTAAACCTGTGACAAAAAGCACTGAATATTAAAAACTAATAGCCCTTGACCATGTGGTGTTTATCCAGCAAAGCAAGGATAATTAAAGATGGGAAAATCTACTCATATTTCATTCTAATGGATTTAAGAAGAAAAAAGTCATTATCATCATGTCAGTGGTTGCTAAAAAGGCATTTAACAGATTTATATCTTTTATTGATGAAAATTCTTTAAAAGGACAAATGAATATTTCCAATATGAAAGAATCATATTGGTGGATCTGTATCAATCCACCAAAAGTTAGCATCAAGTTTAAAAAGGAAATTAAGGGGGGGGGGGTGCCTGGGTGGCTGAGTTGGTTGAGCATCTGATTTCAGCTCAGGTTGTGATCTCATGGTTCGTTGAGTTTGAGCCCCGCATCGGGCTCTGTGCTGATGGCTCAGAGCCTGGAGCCTGCTTTGGATTCTGTGTCTTTCTCTCTCTGTTCCTCACCCGTTCATACTCACTCTCTCTCTCTCTCTCAAAAATAAACATTAAAAAAAATTTTTTTTAAGGAAATTAAGGAAGCAACCATCCTAAAATACAAGAAGCTTTTAGAAAAAGCATTCCAGCACAATGTCTTTTATCATCATTACTATCTAATATTGTTCTTGGAATTTCTACCAAATAGAAACGGACAAGACAAAGGGGTAAAACAATTTGGAAAGGAGATAAAAAATATTACTTTTTGTAGATAATGGTTGTATACTGGGAAATCAACTGAAAAATACAAACAATAAAAAATTCAAATGGTGAGTTCAAATTGGTAAATAGAAAATAAGTTTCCATATATATAAATAACCAGTTAGAAAATATAATGGAAGACCCCACTTACAAATGCAAAAACAAAGCATAAACTAAGTGTAAGTCTATATAAAGACACCTTTAAAACATTCCTAAGACATACACACACATACCCATGTTCTCAAAGACGAAATTCAACAACGATTTGGGGTGTCTGGGTGGCTCAGTCAGTTGAACGTGTGACTCCTGATTTTGGCTTAGGTCATGATCCCAGGTTCATGGGATCAAGCCCTGAGTCAGGCTCCGTGCTGAGCATGAAGCCTGTTAAGATGCTCTCTCTCTCTCTCTCTCTCTCTCTCTCTCTGCTCTTCTTCCCTGCTCACTCTCTCTCTCTCAAAAATAAAATTAAAATAAAAAATAAATTTAAAAAAGATATCAATTCTACTTAATCAACAACTAAAATGAGATTATAACAAAACAATTTCTTAAATATAAGCTAAATCTGAAGTTCACATTAAAAAGAACAAGAATAGGGGCACCTGGGTGGCTCAGTCGGTTAAACGTCTGACTCGATTTCAGCTCAGGTCACGATCTCACAGTTTGTGGGACTGAGCCCCACATCAGACTCTACACTAAGCATGGAGACTGCTTGGGATTCTCACTCTTCCTCCCTCTCTTTGCCCCTTCCCTGGTTGTGCTCTCTCTCTCAAAATATATTAAAAAAAAGAAGAGGCAGGAAAAATCTAAGTAAGAATAATGAGGGAATAACCTTGCCACCTACCAGATACTAAAACATATTTTATTTATATTTTTTCCAACTTTATTGAGGAATAAATGACAAATTATACACACACACACACACACACACACACACACACACCACACACATATATATGCTGTACATTAAATCCTCAGAACTTATTCATCCTATAGCTAAAAGTTTGTACCCTCTGACCTGTATCTCCCCACTTCCCCTCTTCCCTAAACCTGTAAGAACCACAATTCTAATGTTTCCATTAAATCGGCCTTTTATTTTTAATTTACACATTTAAGTGGTACCATACGGCATTTGTCTTTCTTTGGTTTACTCCACTTAGCAAAATGCCTTTAGGTTCATTCATACTGTTGCACAGCAGGATTCCTTCTTTCTTGTGGCTAAATAATATTCCATTGTGTGTGTGTGTGTGTGTGTGTGTGTGTGTGTGTGTGTGTATACATACGCCACATCTTCTTTATCCATTCAATTAGGTGACACTTAGGTGGTTTCCATATCTTGGCTATAGCTAATAATGCAGTAAACATGGGAGTGCAGATATCTCCAAGATAGTGATTTCATTAAAACATATTTTTAGAATCAAATACATGAGAAGTTAGTATGTGATAAGTTTGTATTTTAAATCAGTAGGAAATGGATTATTAAATGGTGTTAGTATGATTAAGTACTGATCAAAAAAAAAAAAACTGTATTTATACCTTATACCAGGATAAATTCCAAATACATCAAATATCAAAATACACAAAAGGAAATGATAAAAGTGTCCCCCAAAGATGGAAGAATCCTTGAATAACTGATAACTAGAGAAGGTATTTCCAACAAAAACTCAGAATTTCCCTTCATAACAGTATGTCTTAAAAAATGTTCAGTGTTTTTGCCATGCAGAAATCAAAAGGCAAAAAGACACAGAAAAGGTTTGAAGATTACATAATGAGCAAAGGGCATGATTACTCAGGGGAAAATGAACAAAGGGTGTGAATACTTCACATAAATCAAACAGCTGTCACACATATCAGGAGCACAGCCCTTCCCCAAATCGTAAAAAAAAAAAAAAAAAAGTGTCCTCAGACTTTGCCAAATGTCTCCCTGGAGCAAAACTGCCCTTCGTTCAAAACCACTGCTCTGTATGAGGCAGATTGCCAATATCTACTAACATCACAAATTCATAGAAGCCTAGCAATTCCCCTCCGGGAACTTATCCCTCATATAAGTATGCTAGCACATTGGTGGAATGAGGTAGGTCTCTGTTTAATCATTTATTTATTTATTATTCTTTAAAGTTTTTAAAATTTCATTTTAACCCAAGTTAATTAACATACAGCGTAACAATGGTTTCAAGACTAGAATTTAGTGATTCACCACTTACATATAACACCCAGTGCTCATCCCAGCAAGTACCCTCCTCCTTAATGTCCATCACCCATTAGCCCATCTCCCTACCCAATACCCCTCCAGCAACCTTCAGTTTGTTCTCTGTATTGAAGAATCTCTTATAATTTGCCTCCCTCTCTGTTTTTATCTATTTTTCCTTCCTTTCCACTATGCTCATATTTTGTTTCTTAAATTCCACATATGAGTAAAGTCATATATCTGTGTTTCTCTGACTTATTTTCCTTAGCATAATACCCTCTAGTTCCATCCACCTTGTTACAAATGGCAAGATTTCATTCTTTTTCATCACCGAGTAGTATTTCATTGTGTATGTATGTATATATATGTATATGGATATGCCACATTTTCTTTATCCATTCATCAAGTCAATGGACATTTGGGCTCTTTCCATAACTTGGCTATTGTTGATAGTGTTGCTATAAACATTTGGGTGTATGTGCCACTTTGAATCACCATTTTTGTATCCTTTGGATAAATTCTTAGTAGTGTAATTGCTGGGTCATAGGGTAGCTCTATTTTTAATTTTTTGAGGAACTTCCATACTGTTCTCCAGAGTGGCTGCACCAGTTTGCATTCACACCAACAGTGCAAAAGGGTTCCCATCTCTCCACATCCTCGCCAGCATCTGTTGTTTCCTGAGTTGTTAATTTTAGCCATTCTGACAGGTTGAGGTGGAATTTCACTGTACTTTTGATTTGTATTTCCCTGATGATGAGTGATGTTGAGCATCTTTTCATATGTCTGTTAGCCATCTGGCTGTCTTCTTTGGAAAAGTGTCTATTCATGTCTTCTGCCCATTTCTTCACTGGATTATCTGTTTTTTGGCTGTTGAGTTTGGTAAATTCTTTATAGATTTGGCATACTAATCCTTTATCCGATATATCATTGGCAAATATCTTTTCCCATTCTGTATAATGCCCTTTAGTTTTGTTATTTCCTCCGTTTACTCATTTGAAACATTATTTGTAATAGCAAATGACTGAAAACAACAGATTCATGAGAGGGAGGTGGTTAAATCTTGGTACAATAATAGTGTGCACTGTGGACAGATCTCTGTGATATGTAAACTGGGAAAAAAAGCAAGATATAGAACAGTGTTCAAAGTAGGTTTTGTGATAAAAGAACACATATGTACAGTATTTGTGTATGTTAAAAATCTCCCTGAAAGGATACACTGGGGAAAAAGTATAATATAGTATGCTGTGTGGAAAGTCACTTCTCACTGCATATGTTTCAATACTTTTTTATGTTTATTATGTTTTTCATTAAAGAGAGCATGAGTGGGGAGGAGCAAAGAGAGAGAGAGAGGGAGAGAACAGAGCATCTCAAGCAGGCTCCACGCTATCAGCACAGAGCCTGATGTGGGGCTCAATCTCACAAAGTGAGATCATGTCCTGAGCTAAAATCAAAAGTAGGTGCTTATCTGATTAAGCCACCCAGGTGCCCCTATTTCTATACTTTTTGGAGTCTGAACCATACAACTATGTACTTTCTCAAATTTTAAATAAGTATTTTTAAAGAAGGAATAAGATTATACTGATTTAGAAACTGATATTTTAAAACTTTTAGTCTGTTATAGCTAATTACCATCTACCTCAAATGCTACAATTCACTGAAAAAGTTTAATTACAACCATGTGCTTAAACACATATTGCCTATTAAAGAAACAGTTTATCTTGAGCAAAGTGTTACTATAAATGGAAGAAGACACTTTTATAAACATCAAAAATTACATGTGACTACAGAAAAAATCATTTTTATAAGAACAGTTCAGTATACTCAAAATGTGTTAACAAAAAAAACACTCATGATCTCTATACACATAAATAATTTTTAAAAAGGATTCTCAAAATAATAGAGATGTTAGCTAACCTAATGCTTAAAGTAATCATACTGCAATATATAAAGGTATTAAATCATGTTGTACACCTTAAAATTACACAATGTTATACATTAAAACCTTGGTTTGTGAGCATAATTCATTCCAGAAACATGCTTGTAATCCAAAGCACTTGTAAATCAGAGCGAATTTAGAAATAATGGAAACTCAGATTTTGTTCCACAACCCAAAAATGTT